TGGTAGCTGTGCTTTCGGTTGCTAAAGATGTAGGTACTTCAGTAGGTGCCGGAGTTTGAAAAAGTCCGCTTTGTGGAGCAAAARATGGTCTTGATTGAGTGGTGTTTACTTTTGAGGTTRCTGGGGCAGTGAGGAATCCCCCTGTGCTCTGGGCTGTTGACAATAMAAGACYTGTTGAACCTTGGGTTGTTCCAGATCCTGATRYAACTTCACTTAAACTAAAAGTGCTACTGGGTTTTGATGGAACACCACYAAACGAGAACAATGTAGAACTTGTAGACTCAGTTGTACTAGTTGAAGAAGAAGTATTTGTAGTTGTAATCGTTGATATAGAAGCCGTTGATGCCCCTGTGGTCTTATTAGCAAATAGAAATGGAGAAGAAAATTGTTTGGATTGAGGCGTAGATGAAGATGTTGTCCCGAGTGAAAAAGGTTGACTAGCAAAAGGTTTGACCACGTTGTCTTTTTTGGACAATTCCCCATCCATTGAAGCCCCAGAAATTCCTGCAGTCATTGAAGATATTATGGGATATGAAAACTTAAAACCAGAAGAACTCGAAACTTGAGCATTCTGTTTTCCTGCTTCTGTCGAAACTGGCTTACTTGCAGTGGTGGTCTGTAGAGCAAAAAGACCAGTGGATGACGACTTCTCTGTAAATGGCTTTAAATCTGCTTGTGTAGTTGTTGCAACGTTCCCCTTTGATGGTGACATTGTACCTTCTTGTGTAGTGCCACCAAATAATCGACGGCTTACTCCAGGTGATGGGATGACATCTGGTTTTTCGATCACTGTACTAGCAGCGGTTGTAACCTGTTGCAAATTACTTCCCGTGTACAATAGAGAAGATGAAACACCKGCAGTGGAAGATGCAATATTATCTTTTGTATTTCTACTATTTCCAGTTGTTGATTTAACAGTAGCAGAGGTGGGAAATTGACTTRAAATACTACCTGCACAGCTTACTGAACTTTTGGTAAATGACACTGATGTTACGGGCAAAGGTTTAACAGTCACATTTGGTGCAGGTAACCTGTTTGCTGAGACCCCTGGTGMAAGTTTTGCAACATCGGTGTTTTTAAAAGAAAACTCTGTACTACTTTGTGGCTTAGAAACAGATTTTTGTGCTTGGAGTTGTGAAGCTTTGACCGCGGCTTCCGCTACTTCTCTTGCCATACTCGTCTCTGTTTCAATGTCACGTTCTTTTTCAGTATGTGACCGGCCGTGAAGGACCATAGAACTGGGTTCTATGCTAGCTGCAGGGTCAAGGTTRGGATTTTTCAATGTGGACTTCTCTGCTCGAATCATAGCAGCTTGTGCAGCAGCTTTTACAGGAGAAACGTTTTGAACTGGAACAGACACCTCCTACAACAAAAAAGACTCAATCTTACAAAACAAAATGTATCATTGTATCAAAACATTTTATATCTAGCAATAAGCATAAGAGAAAGTTAGGTACAAAGTTTAGAGAAGCTGGTCAAAAAACAAACAACAACAACAAACAAAACAATAAAGTAAAAAAAGGAAACCTAATGATAAATCGAGTTGGATATATAAATACTCAGATAGGTTTTGCTGGTTTGACCATATAGCACAGTTAATTACTTTTCAAAACCAACCATGAAATGTGAGGATATTGCTATACCTTTATCGCTGGCGTTGACGAAGGAGCCTTAAAAGCTGTTGATGCAGTTCCTCCAGATGCAGTTGGTTTAGATACGGGCTGTACAACATCAGTCATGGCTTTTGATTCCTGRACAGAATCTCGAGTAGATAACCCTGTTTGAGCTCTACGTATTGCACTTGAGGCCTGATTCTGACTGAAAAGCCGTGCTGGTGTTGAGTCAACTCCCTCAGGTGGTTGTTCCGGTTGTTTGACAACTTGATCTGATACTGKTTCTTGATTCTGTTTAAAGGTGAACAGACTTTCGGGTTTGGCTCCAGRCTGATTCTGACTGAAAAGCCGTGCTGGTGTTGAGTCAACTCCCTCAGGTATTTGTTCCGTTTGCTTGGCAACTTGATGTGATACCGGTGCTTTAGGGTGTTTAAAAGTAAACAGACTTTCGGATTTGGCCCCAGGCGTCGATGAAAATAATTGCTTTTTGAAGTCATTGTCACCACTTAAGTCAATGTTTTCTTCATCAAAAGGTGGAGAAGTAGTGACTTTAGACGCACCAAGACGTTTCAGAAGTTGCTTCGATGGTAAAGTTGATGGGACTACTGAAATAACAGAGACTTTTAGTTAAATAAAAGTGAATTTTACTTTCACAAAATTATAAGTATAAGTTAGCTTTTCTTAGTGTGCTCATGGTGCTGCTAAAAAGAGAATTAGAAATTGCTATGCTTTTGATAAAAAAGCAATATATTACAGTATGACATAACAGCACAGATTCTCCAAAAAATTGAAAAAAAGATGCTTGGAGGAGCAACTAGTCTTGTATTCATTGGTTAGCATCTGCACATACATTTGTCTAATCATGTAATAAGACACAGAATGTAAATAAGGCTTACACACAATCACCATTAAAACCCTTGAATAACATCACTGAACAACACTTTCCATTGGATAAATAAATCTTTAATCCAGTGGATAAACTCTGAGAAAATCGATTTAATGTATAGCCTTATTGACCCCTAATACAACCAGCCAATGAAGAATAAATACCAATTGTTGATTTCCTGATGGGTGTTGTCTGTCTTTTCCTCAACATGTTTGTTAGCTGTACAGTTTTATTAACTGGGATTGGATCTGAAAAAGTATACAAATAAGTACCCAACTCTCTACYGGAAAGCTACAGACAAATCTCACTCCMAATCTTCCTTTRGTTTAGACMAATTGGAGAATTCCAATAGGTCTTTTGCATGAAACAGTCGCATCACGAGTTTTATCCTTAATAAAAYGCTGCTCCTTTTTTATGAATATTAAATTAAGTTCTYCCGCTCATCACTCCCGTTGTAACTAACTCAACAAAGAAAACAAGGACCATGTCACACTAACCTTGTACTTTTATTGGTGATTTGACAGTGCTGCTAAGATCAACCTTCTTTAAAGATTCCTCTAAGTTTGATAGATCACTTCCCCTGAAAAGGACATCCGCAAGGTGAACATTGTCTAAATGATAATGATCCTCATAGTTTGGCAATGACTGATAGGTGTCAACTAAACTTGCATTGCAACTAAAAGAGGTGTAAAGAGGTGCACAATGCGCATTAAAACATTGTTAAATTATAATATCTCTGCCATATTGCAATTATTACTACTAAAGTACCCTTTTGTTTTACTGGTAGGTGATGGTTTGGACCAATGAGGTGACAAGAGTCTTTTCTGTTTCATCTTCTCAACAAGTCTTTCTATTTTAGTTGACTTAAAAACAGACACAAAATGCAAACATACTTTACAACAAGCATGTAGTGAAAGGGGCTAAAATAAAATTATCACATGTCTACAAGTCCAAGGGGGCTTTCATTTATTAGCTCATGTGGGATCTGGCAAAATACTGTATTATACATCTGTCTGCAAACATTACATAACCACCCAAGCATGTTATACATCAAATCACAACCCCCCCTATTATACGACTAAGATTATAAGACCCTCCACTCCATGCATAACAAGTATAAACATCTTCAAACTCCCTGAACAAGGTGGGGATGAAGGAACTGGAACAAGGAGGGGAGGAATTTGAACAAGAAGGAGAGGAAGGAACTGGAACAAGAAGGGGAGGGAGGAACTGGAACAAGAAGGGGAGGGAGGAACTGGAACAAGGAGGGGAGGAATTTCAACAAGAAGGAGAGGAAGGAACTGGAACAAGAAGGGGAGGGAGGAACTGGAACAAGAAGGGGAGGGAGGAACTGGAACAAGGAGGGGAGGGAGGAACTGGAACAAGAAGGGCAGGAAGAAACTGGAACAAGGGAGCAAGAAAATGGAGCAAGGAGGGGGAAGAAATGGAAAACAAGGAGTGCAGGAAGGAAGAAAATGGAACAAGGAGTGTTGGAAGGAACTGGAACAAGGTGAGGAAGGAAGGAACTCAAACAAGAGAGGGAAGAAAGGAGCTGAAGCAAGGTTGAAATGAAGAAGGAACTGAGGGAGGCATGAATGGAAGCACATAAGTGAATAAGGAAATGTAAAAAAAAAACAAGTACCTGTTCCTGTGAGACCATGTGATGTAAACGAAGAGTTCTGTAGATGACATCTAAAGACGGCCGTTGAATTTTACTTAACAAGAACAAAAACACACTCCTATGAGTAATRCATTCTCTAGCATTCATATTTCTATCATTTTGACTTTAAAAAAACTATCAACATCAATAAAGCCAGGCTTCACCTTTTAATTTGATCAAATTTAATTTTATCAACAAATACATTTCAATGTCAATTGTTTCAACACTCATTCAACTTTCATAATGTTGGATTYATTAGTTAATTTACCTTTTTGTTTCATTTTCCTTATTCCATTCTTCATCCAGCACAAGATTAACTTCTCTGTTGATGAGATAATTTAGTGTGTATCAAACTGTAGTTTTAAAGAAGAACAAGGAAGAACAATAGGATGAATAATCAGGGTAAACCAAAAATGCAAAAYGTAAATCATATTAAGAACTTATTGCAATTTACTGATTATTGACATTATTGCCATGTATGACATGTTAACATCATTTTATTACCTGACACATTTATATGTATTTCCAGTACACTGTATATAACAATCAATTTGGATGTATAGTTAAAGTAAATATTATAGTTTTTTKGAAATACATATTACAATACCTAAGAGTTTTGTCCAGGTGCATGTAGAGTTCTCTAATATTTCTCATCTTGTTGGCATTTACAGGATCAAGATTACGAGACTGTCCCAAAAAATATGACAGTTAATGAAATGAACAGACAGTAAAAATGTATGGAAAGAAATATGAACAAACAAATAGATAGACATATGAACAAATGAATGGATGAACAGATAAAAAATGGTTGGTGGATGAACAAATGATTTTTCACTTATTGTAACCACATGTTTTTACCTTTAACAAATGATGATAGCGAGGATCTTTAGCTCTATCATTACGRACTCTGAAAGATATCAAATACTTTACAAGTGCAATGCAAAAATTATTACCAGTTAAAAACACTTCAAAAATTTTCAAGTAGAATGAAAGACTGTAGACCCTTTGACACACCCCTGAGCCTGGTCACTTATCCACATTAGAAATKATCACTGATGCAACAAGTGCTGATTCAGATTCAATTCCGTCAACAATATCTACCTTGCATCTTCTAAAATTTCAAAACTGCTCAGAAGTTTAAGTTTGATGTCTTGAATTTCTTTGTTGTGTTCCTATAGAAAAGTTRATAAAAAATATTAGAAAATTAATTGGCAGAAATTAATATCTTGCTGGCATGTGAAGTCCCAAGGTARGCTCGCAGTAGTATAGGCAATTGTGTAGTACTTGACCAACTGTCTATGGTCAGCCTTGCCATAACTGAGTAAAACAAGTTTGTTCCACAACAATAAATGGGGCAAACTGATCATACGCGAATCACTTTACAAAGCACTCTTGTCATCCCACATTGAATACGCATAAAGTAAAATAGAASYGCTCTTGGCTGTTCACTGAAATCRRTTGACATCCTGCATWKGTCAATGATCAGGTTTCAAACCTGAGACCTTTGCTAGGGTCATGGACCTTTATATCTGATAAAGGTCACCCTTATTAGGAAGTATTCTTTATATAAAGAATACTAATAAGGAGTGTTTTATCAGATATAAAGGTCCATGCATGTGACCAAATAGGCTCATTCTATTGGCCTAGTAGCTCATTAATTATGTATGAGTTTTTTAAGGTTATTTCATAGATTGCTATCGTTAACACACAAATGTAAACTGTAAAACCCCAAAGGTGACATCATAAATTAAGGCTACAAAGACCTCTTTTCCCAATTAGGTGGTTTTTTGAGGGTATACCAGTCCTACGTGTCTGGTTTTGATGTACATCTAGTCTAGCTCCAAGATGTATAAACTAAGTGCAATATTTAAATGATTAAAGATCGTGGACCCTGCTGGCCAGCCRACCAGTACAAGTGTCAAATGTTTGTGTTTGCTCCTCATAAGCAAAGTGGAGTCAAAATGACATCTTTGTACAGTGGTGCCTTGGGAGTATAATAATGGTAATGGCCACTCAATAGAGGTTGTATAGGGTACATAGAGAAAGGGAAAAGGTGGTGGGTGTTAATCATTCTACATCGCAGCAAGGGTGCTGAATGCAAAGGATGCAGCTCTATGCGCTACTCAAGTTGAAATGCTATATTACAGATACATTTTACATACACTAAATATAGGTGAGCTGCCAGCGATTCCTTTACGAGCAACATTGACTGATTGCGAAGCACAGCAAATAGAAATGGTTCATTTTTTACTGAGGGAGGAAAAACAGGAAAAGATGTGGAAAAAACATTGAAGCAAGGGAGAGAACAAAAACAACTCAAATCACAATCAACTCAAATCACATATGGTGTCCTAAACGAGATTCAAACAACGTCCATAGAGGTGACAGGCCAGCACTCTCACTGCTCAACCACCCTCTGAGAGCATTGGGACTTTACCCTGCCCAATARAGTTACCTTTGTAGTTTGTTTCAAGCCATTATTCATTCTTGATTTCTCATTAGTTTGTTTCCGTAGATTCTCAAGTGATTCAGGATTTAAKGTGGCTGAACAAAGTTGTTTAACTTGCTGCACATCTTCACCAAGACTGGCCAATTCCTTATTGAAATGTAGTATCTTTAAAAAATATATMATAATGAATGTTAAAACATGTATCAGTGAAGACCAGAGAAGGATCAGTAAGATTTCCATAATGGTTGTGCATGTCTTGTCCCTATTATGTGAAGTAGAATTTAGAAAATTTTGAAATCCCTGAACTTAAACTGAAAGTATTTTTTTTAAGGACATGCATGGATATTTGAACCAGCCCTATGATTCATGCTTAACTCGATATTTCCCCTAAACCTAATCAAGTGCACATGACACCTTTTAGAAAAACACTTTTATCCGAAAGGTAACACGCTGCCAAGTACTTCTGTGAATAAAGAAATAGATTTTGAATTGTATTTTCTGAGTTATAGACATTTTAAAATTGAAAATGCAAATGAAGTGACGTCAACTAAGGAATTGATCCAGACTTTTTACATTGTTTGTGCTATGCTGTTTTTGGTTGAAGAGCTAAAATCATCAATCGCAGTAATAATTGCGAGCTGAAAATGCTTTTTCCAAATGTAACAAAAAGAATAACGTTCTCTTCCATGATTTTGTATATCAAATCATTCCTTAGTAGACATCACTTCATTTGCATTTTCTAAGTTTCAATCGCCCATAACTTAGAAAATACAATTTAAAATCGATTTCTTTCTTCACAGATGAACTTAGCAGTATTTTCTCTTTTGGATGAGAATGAATTTCTAATGGTGTCATGTGCACTTTAAGCCATGAGATCAATTTGACTAAGTGAATATGAATTTTTGTGATATTTATGCAACTGCATTCACAAATAAACACATGTAGTTGCATAAGATAGATGCGAACCCTCTAGTATGCATACATGAGACTTGCATATAAACATCCATATATGGAAGYTGTACGACAAACTCTACTCAAAAACCAAGGCATCTACTTTATACTCTTCATCATAATAATGTCCTTATATTAAATGGGTAGAGGTGCGGGGTTTGGGGTGGGCTTAAGAGGGAAATATTTATATTTCTTTGAAGGTTATGATGTCTAACAAACTTAGTGCAGAGAGCTCCATACATGCCAAATAAATATGACTAAATAACCAAATATTTTGTCTCAAAGCACAAATTAGCTCAGTCAATGAATAAACATTTTTCTAATATGACAGATTTTGTTGTAAATAGTGTTACTTTTTTATAGTGTAACACTATACGGGGATGTGCCGCCAACCAGAAGGGTATCATTTTCAGCGATTTTACTCTGGAATTGGGTATCGTTTTCAGCGATTTTACTCTGGAACTGGGTATTGTTTTTAGCGATTTTACTCTGTAACACGTTTTCGATCTCAACGAATTTTCTCTGGAACAGGATCAGGGTTTAATTCTGGAATTATCGAAGCTTGGTGAAAATTCACGGGGTAAAAATTCGGCCTACACGCAGGCTATTGCTGGATTTTTGGAACAGGGTATCGTTTTCAGCAATTTTACTCTGGAACAGGGTATAGTTTTCAGCGATTTCACTCTGGAATGGGGTCAGGGTTTGGAGGTCCCAGCGGCACCCCCACCCACGTTGCGGGGGAGTACCTCCCCCCCTGGGGTTAAATTATATCCCTATAATCTGATACATAATCCAAAACAGACCTCTTCATGTATGCATGTAGACATAGATAACTCCAGGTTATCTTGAGAGGATGGGAGTGTAGGCTTCACCAAATGCTTGTCTTTCTGTTTTTGTTGCTCCTGCTCAAGGAGCTTTTCTAAGCTTTGTTGTTGTTTCAGCTCAGCTTGTTGTTCAAGAAGCTTTTGTTGTTCTTGTTCCCTTACCAATTGTTGCTGCTGTCTCTGCAGCTGTAGTTGCTGTAGTTGCTGAGGTGGTTGTTGTAGTTGCTGTAGTTGCTGAGGTGGTTGCTGTAGTTGCTGTAGTTGCTGAGGTGGTTGTTGTAGTTGCTGTAGTTGCTGAGGTGGTTGTTGTAGTTGCTGAGGTGGTTGTTGTAGTTGCTGTAGTTGCTGAGGTGGTTGTTGTTGGGTTAAAGGCTGCTGTGTGACTATTTGAGTTGTTGGAGTGAGCTTGAAGAGTCCTTGGTTAGCTGGTTTGCTGTCAGATGCCATTGTTAATGGAAATGAAAACAAAGACTTTCCACTCTGACTGACAGTTACATTTGATGTAGGCATTGATGCTGTAATGAAATCAACAATCATTTTGTTCCATTAGTACTGTATTATTCTCATGAACATAACCTTTCGCTCAAATCTTTATACCTGATAAAACACACACTCTCTCTCTCTTTCTMTCTCTCTCGTGTTTATACTTTAACACATTAATTGTGTTAAGTGAAAAACCTTCAATTTAAGGCACAGTGTCAWTCTCCRCAACATGCCTTGATGGACGCCATGTTGAATGCAAAATCACTATTCAAAGCCTTTTATTGTTAAAAACAAYTTGAGATGTTTTATTGATCATCACTACTCATCTTGACAACGCACTATAAAATACTTAAATAGGGACTGTGCAATAATTACCAGGAGGGGGGAGAATTCTCAAGCAGAAAATTAGTCAGAGCCGCTCCCGAAGCATAAGAAAATAGCCCTTACCCCCTCTGCTATACTAGAAATAACGTTGGACCCCCCCAGCTATTAACCTTAAAATAAAACAAGCACAAGCGAGTCGAGTCAACTGTAGCAACGTAAAATTCACTAAAGATGAACCCAGATGCAAGAGGTGGCTTACTCATCTGGACCTAAATGTAAAGACAAAAACTTTCAGGAGTAGCTGACAGGGTCTGTTCTGCTATATAACTGTTCTTGTATGAATTTGTTCCTGGGAAAGGTTTTCAAAAAAGGATTATGTAACGCCTTTTATGGTCAAAAACGACGTTGATAAATATTACTTGTGCTTGTTATGTCTAATAAATCATCAATATGTTTTTCAGCTTCNGATTCGCCCTCTTCGCTAGTGGGCGGTTGTGTTGGCACGATTGAGAAGCCGCTCATCGACAAACGCTCCTCTTGAAGAGCTAACTGATCGGTATTAGAGTCGTCTTCCACTGGTAAATCTTCATCAGGTGTTTCTTCTGAATGTACAGAACCCGTAGGCTCAATAGAATTGTTTGCCAACATAATAATGAAGAGAAATATGTGAAGCCAAAACTAAAAACACTTTCTTTCTCGTTCGCAAAGTGAAAATGGCCACCGTCCTAGTTTACGTGCATGGCCTTATGGGATGCTCTTTCCATATATGGACTAGTGGTCCTTATTTAGCCGCTAGTTTCGCGCTCTTTTTCTTTAATAAATAAATAAGCTTTTAATGACTTTGGATTTTAGTTAGTTATGGCCAAGACCAATTAGTGAATTCTTCGTGCAACAATAATAGAATTCTGATTGTACTTCAGCTACTTTGTAGCCTAGCACAATCTTCAATTATTGCACAGTCCCTTGGCATATTAAGCACTTGCAAATGTAATCATCATGTTTGACTACAAAAGAACAGTGTTGCAAGTAGAGTCTGTGATATATGCAGATCAGTATATTACATCTTTGTTCCTGTGTTGGGAATTTAAAGTAGAAAACATTTGTACCTGGAAAGAGAGGTCTTGTTGAAGCTGTGGCACCAGAAGAAGTCACCAATGGAGAGGCACTTGAAGGGRGCTTAAAAAGCTGAGTAGTAGGCTGCGTAATACCAGAGGAMGTTCCAGAACCTAGAGAGAAGTCACCCTTCTGTTCTGTACTTGTCAAGGTAGGAGTTTGAGATACAGATGAACTGGAAGGCTTGAGAGAAAACCCTATTAAATACAAGAAATAAGACATAATGAATTACATTAACTCTGCTGACTGGTCATTGAAAGTTTGTGAAAAAACAATGTTTAATAGATCGAAGAAACTATTCTAATTKATCAAACCACATGAATCATTGCAAGTAACTCTTGTGTCTTCCTTTCCAGTTTCTTTCATTACACACCAAATAACCAAATTCAACTGAATCTATAGTCAAATATACCAGGCTTGGCTTCAGGCTTTGTAGCTGGAGAAGAWAGTGCTGCAGCACCCCCCTGAGACTGAGCATTCACAGCTGCAATCTTTGGTCTGCTACCAGGATGAGGTAGTGCCTGAGCTGGTTTTACGATGTCATGGCGAGCACTTGGGCTTTTGTTGATCATGTAAAATGGACAGAGGACACCTTTGGTGGACAGCAGAAGAAGAACAGGAGCAGGGGGTAGGGTTTTCTCATCTGTTAAAAGAATTATATTAATAATGAATATAATACAGCAACACATAAGAACAGAATGGCCCATGTTATTAGTTGGACTAGCCGAAGGCGGTCCGACTTTAAATTTACCTTTTAGCCAATCTATCTATCTATGTATTATGTCGCGTTTGGACCACCGGAAGTTAAGAATTTTTGGGTTGGCTGTGTTATTACATGACCGGAAGCTCAAACGTATTGATGTACGAATATCGTTAGTAAATGTTATATGCTACTTGGCTTTTATATGACAAAAAAAATATTCGTTTACAAATGTGGTATCTGTGATCTCATCGGAATGCATCTGTCTAGGCATTAGAAGTACGAGCATGTGCAGATCGCATAGAGTTTCGAGTTGTATGCTTACAAAACTGAATCAATATCCTTTCTAGTGTTACACAGTCTTGTGGGGGCAAAGATTTCAAATTAGAACAGAAAGGCGAATTTAATGATTTTATAGGCATCTTTTTCCTTGTAAAGTTTTTATTTTCTTTGCCTGAGAGGTCAACGTTTTAGATATCATATATCACTTAGCGAGACATTTGTCTGAGTGTAGTTGATTTTATCAGTCAAAGCAAGCCATGTTCTTATCGCGTTAATTACATGACCTTTTAGGTCAAGTTTATTTAAAGTCTCAATAAATTTTGCATATTTTGAACTAGACGCTCTTATTAGACCGTGAGTTCGACTGTTTTGGAAAAAAAAGTTAAGAAATATTTTTATCCATGTATATCCTGTCTTTCTCAATTTTCACAAGCAGCTAGTCCGACTTCACGCTCCCAGAGCGTCTAGTCATACGAGCAGTACAATGGCCCATGTCATCATACGAGCAGTACAATGGCCCATGTTATCATACGAGCAGTACAATGGCCCATGTTATCATAACAGCAGTACAATGGCCCATGTTATCATACGAGCAGTACAATTGGTCCATGTTATCATACGAGCAGTACAATTGGCCCATGTTATCATAGCGAGTCTGGATATTGAATTCTTACAAAGAAAAACTACAAGTTAAGCAATTAGCCATATGTGATTGAGAAGCATTGAGCATCTTGATGGACATGGGTTTTGTATACGGAAAATAGATAAACCAAAAGCACAATTACACATGGCTGACTGCATTTTACCATTTTAAGTTGCTAGAATTAAAAGTATTTTGTGCAGGGATATATGAGCAACACGAAAATGTGTTGATTATTACTTAAATATAAACATGATACTGTATAACATAACAAAGACATACTTTCTTGTATGGTTAGTGTAGATGTGAAATCAATAGTCATGCCCATCGGGAATGTCTCCTCTTTATCACTAGTTAAAGGCATTTCTGCACGGTTTTCATCACTGAATTGCCACTTCTCCCAATCTGTTCCCTATAAGGTCAAATCACGATCATATTAATAAAAGTCATCCCCAACAATTGTGTAGAATTGGATAAGATAATTGTTGAAAATACTGTACCTCATTGCCAAGGACTGCTACTTCAAAGGCATTACAAGAAGCAGTCAGTGTTACATTCCTATTAATAATAAATGTGAACAATGCAAACATTGATATGAATAGTCTCATTTGTCAAATTCAAAAGAATAATTAACTTGTTATCGAGGCCTAAGTGCAACTGAAAAGGTGTTTTGAATCATTGCACGAATTTCTGTAAACCAAACGGGAGAAAAAAACACTGTTTCTGACCATCGTGAGAAGTCATGGTGATGGATTTACGTTTAGTATAAGTCGGAGCAGCCAAAGCACAAGCTTGTCTTTAGTCAGTAAAACAATAGAAGAGATTTCATTGGTACTTACCATTCATTGACATGTGTCATGTAGAAGCCATTTTCTCTTTCATTACTCATGCCAAAATAAACATCCTCAAAGTTTATCACCTTTTTGGGAGTTGTTTTCTAAAAAAGGATACAATTTTTTTTAATTTTCAATGAATACAAAGTTTAACTTCTCTTTCAAATTTATCATTTAAATTTGTTTTGTAGATCTTTTGCATATTGTTGCTGGTGCAGAGAAGTTAATTTTGAATAGACTTCACAACTTGATTTTCAATGCATTGTGGGATYAGTTTCTAGAGAAAACAAAAGAAATCTACCATGTTCTGTCCCMARCACATCCTACAATGCATTGCGTATATGGTACATGATGWAAAAGCTTCAGAGGTCTATTGCATCCTAAGAAACTGACGTTTTTAATTGGTGATAAATAATGTAAGAAGGGCAGCTGCCTCAAACTTATGCTACATTCCTATGTAAGTTGCCTGTATAGTCAGCCGTTCAATACTTTGTTGTATCAGAATAACAAGCATTCAGAGAGGAAAATTTATAATCATTGTATTATGATAATAGCAACTAATGTCCTTAAAAAAATCAATGACAACATCCTTATCATTTTATGAAACAAATAGATAATACACCTTACTGCAAGAATGTTCACATCAGAAAAATATAAACATTATAAAAATACAAAATTTGAATAGACCTCTGAAGCTTTTACATCATAATTTATACATGTACATTATACGCCATTGTAGGATACAGGTAAGTACTTGATGAATTTCTTTTGTTTTTTCCTAGAACTGATCCCACAATGCATTACAACATGGACATAAAAGCCTCAGAAGTCTATTGATCAAATCACAAACTGATTAGTTCAACTCAAATGATTCTCCTTTGTCACAAATTTAGTTTTTAACTTTCATAACTGCAACAATTCTTGCAATGAGAAGTAGTATCAGTGTTGAAATGCTTACACTTTGGTTGCAAATGACAATACACTTAGGYGCTTCTCCTTCATCAGGACTTGTGTAGACATTGACAAAAACTGTACTACTGACCCAACAGATGCTTGTGACTAGAAAGATTGAC